TTAACCTTGACATGCAGAATTATTCCGGACGACTCTCCTTGCACCACAGTTGAAATCTCCTATAAATTTTGCGTCCATTATAATTTGTATTCTCCGAGACTCAGAAAACCATACCTGATGTTAATTTTCTTTCTTAATATCTAGATTCAATTATATTCTTGATTTTATGCTTGGATTTGGATTGGTACTTAGCTCATTGTATCGACCGGCCCAAATTGCACAAGTATGAAAAGGTTAGACGTCGAGAAATAACAGCATTAAATTAGTGATATGTTTTCAATACCGTAAATGTAAGGATGCTTGGGTAGCTCAGTTGGTTAGAGCGTGTGGCTGTTAACCACAAGGTCGGAGGTTCAACTCCTCCCTCTAGCGATTTTCAATTATTTTAATAAAAAGCCCATGAGTAAGATTGGGCCTGGCCCATAAAAGCGATTTTTATGTCGGATATTCGTAATCCATTAAAGCGATATTTTGTAGCAGTCAACGTTTAAACCTCTTTTCTTCTTCTCCATCGTCTCTCGCGTTTCGTTTGTCTCTTGGGGATATATATATAAATGTCGGATGATTTCTTTTTTTTTTTTTAATTTCATCTTACCCAATTTTAGATAGAGGGTGACTGATCCGAGAGAAACATGGCGATTGTTTCCGTCTCTAACTCATTTCTCACCTTCAATTCTCCCAATCAACTCCGAATTAGCCGGTAATTCCCTCCATATCTGAAACTACATTGTTTTTGTGTATCTGGGCACTTGACATTTCGCTTCGAATTTGTTTATCTTACATTCTCGATCCATGAAAGTCCCTAAAAAACCGATCTTGATTTTTTTGCAGAACAAGATTTTCTGCCATGGCTTCTTCAACTGCTGGAGTGAGAGTCGCTGAAGGAGAAGGCAATTTGCCAAAACTCGTCCTCACTTCTCCTCAGAACAAGTAAAAAGTCAAACTTTTGTAATTCGGGTTTAGTTTATAATCTCGACTCCAATTTTTTTCTTTAAATTGGATGCAGTGAAGCTGAGATATATCTGTTTGGAGGCTGCGTTACATCTTGGAAAGTTGCGAGTGGAAAAGATCTTCTTTTTGTTAGACCAGATGCTGTCTTCAATAAGATAAAACCCATAAGGTCCTGACCATGAAATTTTGTTACTCGTATTTATCAACCAGAAATTGTGACCATGACAACATTTGTGTTTTTTTTTTCGGATTAGCGGAGGGATTCCACATTGTTTCCCACAGTTTGGACCTGGACAAATTCAGCAGGTACTTGTTTAGTGTTTCCTCTATTGACCAAATCCGTATTTTTAGTTATTTATGCTTATAGTTCTTGTGGAATCATTAGCATGGGTTTGGAAGGAACATGGACTGGTCAGTTTTCGATTCCGACAATGCTGCTGTTACTCTTGAACTTAAGGATGGTCCGTATAGTCGAGCCATGTGGGACTTTGGTTTCCAGGCTCTATACAAGGTTGGTGTGTGTGATGCCTTTATTGCCTCATTTGATTAATGGAATGGAACTCTTGTATGTTAGATGTCATTTTTTTGTTGAACAGTTTGTTTTTTTGTTACTTTAGATCATTGTTGGCGCGGACTGCCTTTCCACTGAGCTAAAAGTAACAAACACAGACAATAAACCATTCTCATTCAACACCGCATTGCATACTTACTTCCGTGTAAGTACTCTCTACGTTTTAAATGCTGTAGTTTAGGATAAATCAGCTTTGGAATTGAAGTGGTTTTTTTTCCATGTTCTGATACTATGGCTTCCAAATTGAGTTCATGTTTCCAACTTTTTTTCGTCTTATAATTTTCTTGGCTTCATCAGGCTTCTGTCACCGAGGCATCCGTGACAGGTCTAAAGGGTTGTAAAACTCTCAATAAGGATCCTGATCCTAAGAATCCAATAGAGGGTAAAGAAGACAGGTGGGTTTGTGTATTTCCTTACTTTTTTAGTTGTTTACCTTCATTGAGTTCCTATTTTCCAGAAGCATATTGGCATAACTACAGATCTTGTTGATTTTGATTTCACATGTTTCATGGTTCTTAATATTTTCTGACATTCCAGGGATGCAGTCACTTTTCCTGGATTTGTGGATTGCGTCTATCTTGATGCTCCTACTGAATTGCAGTTCGATAATGGCTTGGGTGATAAAATAATCATCAAAAACACTAAGTATGTTTATTGAGACACATATGTGGCTTTATACATGGACTACGTTAACTCCCGTTTCAGAAATCGTTCTGTGCCTCATGATTATTAGAGTTGTATTTGGAAAATGCAGTTGGTCGGATGCGGTCTTGTGGAACCCTCATATTCAAATGGAGGCTTGTTACAGAGACTTTGTGTGCGTTGAAAATGCAAAGGTATATCAGTTTTGCACCTAAATCTTTACTCGTTACAAAGCTAAAAAGTTTATAACTCTTGCGTGTCATTTTTACTCGCAGCTTGGGGATGTCAAGCTAGAGCCAGGACAGTCTTGGACCGCAACACAGCATCTCAGCATCAGTTGAAAACAATGTACTTTAAGCTTCTGTTAAAATGTTGAGTGGATCCATTTTCTTAAGCAATAAAAGTTTTATTTCCTCTTCAAATTTCACCAGTAGTCCCCACAACTGCATTTCCCATCTCTAAAATGATGGAACCTTGTCCTATCTCTCATTATGATATCTCTCTTGTATATCTTAGAGATGAGTTTCGTTACTCTGTGACAGTCTTTGCATACTCGAAGATTCTTCATTATACGTAGAGTGGTTCCCGGTTTAGTCTTGATTAACCCGTATGTAATCGCCAATTTCTCACTGTGCTGATGCACAATAGCCTCTCTTTCCTCATCGTCAACTAGAAGCAGCATATCTTCCAACTCTGGTACGTACCCGTGTTCCTCAAGTTTCTTTCTCACGGTTCTCCATTTATATTGAATCCTCTCAATCTCCACATGTGATCTGTCTCCTGCTAAAAACTCATGTGTGGTCCCTTCCAAGCTAATTGTACTACAACCTGGAACTTTGGCAACTCCTTTTTCTTTCATCAATCTTCTTGTTTCAGCAGCTTTGTCCCACTTTTTTCCCATAGCATGAATTTTTGCTTTGTGAACATATCGCCCACCATGATTTGGATCCATTTTAATTAATATTTCTCCAATTTCCTCTCCTAATTCGATGTTTTTGTGAATCTGACAGGCTTTGAGCAAAGCACCCCATATGACAGTGTTTGGCTTCAAAGGCATCTTCTGAATGATACATTTTGCTTCATCAAGCAATCCAGCTCGACCGAGTAAATCAACCATGCAGCCATAATGCTCAATCGTTGGCTTCAGATTATAGTCTCTCTCCATGCTGTAGAATAGTGACTTACCTTCTTCAACTAATCCTGCGTAGCTGCAAGCAGTGAGAGCTGCGGTGAAAGTGATCACATTTGGCTTTACTCCCATCTTTTGCATCTCCATGAATTTGCCAATCGCTTCTCTTCCAAGGCCATGGTACGCATAACCGGAAATCAAAGCTGTCCATACTTGCACTGATTTTTTCTTCATATTCTTGAAAACTCCCAAAGCTTCTTCCATTTCGCCGCACTTTGCATACATATCTATAAGAACACAACACAAAACAGAATCAATTCTGATTCTTCTTTTATTGACATAGGAATGAATCCATTTCCCTTGCTCGAGTGCCCCGAGCTGAGCACAAGCTGAGAGAGCATTAGCTAGTGAAACATTATCAGGCTCAACATCAGAATTCTGCATTTCATGAAATAATTGCAAAGCTTCCTTGTTCATTCCTGCTTGAACATACCCAGAGATCATAGTAGTCCACGACACAGCGTTCTTCTTTTCCGGCATTTTCCTGAATAATGTTAAGGCAATATCCATTTTTCCAGCTTTGGTATAACCTTTAATCACAGAGTTCCACGAGACAGCATCGGGTTTGGGGATTCGTTCAAAGAGAAGGTGAGCTAGCTTGAAGTTCCCGGTCACAGCATATGAATTGATCAGAGAATTCACTGCGTATACATCGTTTCCATATCCAAATTTCGTGATCTGTGCGTGAATTTGCTTCGTTTCTTCAAATGCAGATAGATTCGAACAAGCTTTGAGAAGAAATGGAAATGTGTATTCGTTATGAGGAGCGGAACAGCAGAGCATACGGTGATAGAGGAGTATAGACCTCTCGGGTTCGTGTGAAGACGAGAATCCTCTGATCATTAGGTTCCACAAGAAAGTATCTGGTCGATCAAAAGCGTCAAAAACATTCTGGGCATAAGAAGAAGTCGAGGAAGAAATGCAGAAAGAAAGGAACTTTTTCATTGCATATGAATCTTGCATCAAGCCAGATTTAAGCATACGAGCGTGGATTTGCTTCAGTTCTTTTTGGTTTGTGCATCTCTCGAGACAAGGCATTGTCTCGCAGAGATTATGTTCAAATGCGAAGGAAGAGGAGATTACTTGCATTTTTTAGTTTCTTGAGATAAGGTTCTTGATGATGATGATGACTATTTCTCAGTGTTGTCGTTTGTTAAAAAGACTTAAAAGGATGAACGGTTTTGATTCTGTCAACTGGATACGTGTCCCTATCACTAACCGTTCTCTTATATAAGTAATTATCAAACCAATCGTAATTACCTAGTCGTCGCCGGTCGGGACTCTCTCGCTTCCAGAACCGGATCATAACGGTCCGACCGGAATTTGAGAACAAAACCATCGATGGGGACGTGTAGTCTCCTTCTTCCTCTAGTTCCGGCGAAAAAAAACCCATTTTCGATTTCATTGATAAAACCCAAAATCAGTCTCTCTCGTCTACACGAAGAAGGAAGAAAGACGTTGGGGACAATGGCGAAAGCATTGTACAGCGTAGGATTCTGGATCCGGGAAACTGGTCAAGCACTTGATCGGCTCGGTTGTCGCCTCCAAGGGAAAAATCACTTCCGAGAACAGCGTACGTCTTTCGATCGCCTTGCCTTTCTTAGTTCCATTCGAATTCTAGTTTGATTTTTCGGGTATTTCGGAATGTTTTGGGTATATCTCTGGAATCGGCTCATAGTTTAGATTTGGTGAAATGATGCGTTTTTCTTCTCGTCACGATCCGAGTTTTCGTTGATGATTGATCGAAGACCTAAGAGCTTAATATCGAATGTTGGGTTTCTCGGTTCTTAAGCTGTTTTCCATTTTATCCAGAGAATCAAATCAGTTTCTATGTTGAGTGATTTTATTGCTGAGAGAGATTTCTCTTAAATTGGGTATTAGTTTTCATTCTCCTCCTAGCTGAAATCTTGTTCACTTAGACAGTCTTATTGTGAGTGATTCACTTGTCCAGCGTTTTCCAGTGATACTGCATTCAATGAAGCTTCTGCTTAATTTTCCTATGTCAACATTTGTAACTACTTCTGATTTCTGATACTCATTTTTCCAGTATCGAGGCATCGTACACTCATGAATGTTTTTGACAAATCCCCTAGCGTGGATAAGGAGGCTTTTGTGGCTCCTAGCGCTTCTATCACTGGTGATGTCCATGTGGGACGAGGTTCTTCCATTTGGTATGGATGTGTCTTGAGAGGTAAGCCAGAGTACTTGACCATGCCAAATGTGCTTTCTTTGAGAGAAAAAGCAGTCTTTGGTTCAGACGTTTCCCTAGTTTTTAACGACTTCCTGTGGTTCTCTGCAGGAGATGCTAACAGCATCAGTGTCGGAGCTGGGACCAATATCCAGGATAACTCTCTTGTCCACGTTGCTAAGTCCAACTTAAGCGGGAAGGTCTTACCTACTGTTATTGGAGACAATGTCACGATAGGTAAATTCTCAGCATTTTCTGCCTAACTAAAGTGTAAACTTATAATCAGGGTAAGTAAATATAATTTGGAGCAGGTCATAGTTCTGTTTTACATGGCTGCACTGTCGAGGACGAGGCCTATATTAGTGCAAGTGCAACAGTGCTGGATGGAGCTCATGTTGAAAAGCATGCCATAGTTGCTCCAGGAGCTCTTGTCAGGCAGAACACTAGAATTCCATCCGGCGAGGTTCCTATATTCACACTCTTATGTTGACCTTCTCAACTTTCTTGTTTGCTAAAGCTCTGGTAAAGTGTAAAGTCTCAGTTTTGCTTTGAATCTCTGAACACAGGTTTGGGGAGGGAATCCAGCTAGATTTCTGAGGAAGGTTACAGAAGAAGAAAAGGCCTTCTTCTCCAGTTCGGCTGTGGATTACTCCAATTTAGCTCAAGTTCACGCCGCAGAAAACGCAAAGAACTTGGACGAGACTGAATTGAAGAAGCTTCTTTACAAGAAGAACGCTCGCGATGCAGAATATGATTCACTACTCAATGAACTCAATCTCCCTGAGAATGTACCAAAAGCAGCTTGAGGCTCTTAACTTTATGGCGCCTTGAGAATCTTGATTTATGTTGGATTTGAAAAAAGAAAAACAAGAACTTCATTTCCTGCTTCTCCAATAAAGTTTTCTTGGGCTTACTGGGAAAGTTTTCGGCGTTAAGGCATTCATTTCTCCGTTAAAGATTCTGAAGGGTTTTGTTCTCTTCTCTTGTAACCTGAGAAAAAAAGTTGTAACCTTTTCTTCTTATGATGTCTAATAAATTGTTTGATCAGACATTTCTCGTATTTAGGTTTGACCTTTTGCTTTCTTATGCTCATATAAAGATTGCTATTACAGCTCTGCTTCTATAGGTTTGTGTCTGTTGCGACAAGTAAGCGAACGAGTATCGTCGTCTTCCGGTTCACATGTTCGCATGTTTACCTCGTTTAGGTGACGTCACCGGAAAATCCCCGAATTTGCTATTGAGATATGTGTTTGTGCGAAATTGTGCTGTCCATGCCGACCACCTGTTCGACGCATTGCCGCAACGAGACCTCTCATCGCTTAACTCTCAACTCTCGTCTTACCTCCGCAGTGGAAACCCAAATGGCACATTGGCTCTCTTTCTTAAGATGCATCGAGCAAGTCCTGGTCTCAGCTCACACACCTTCACTCCGGTTCTCGGCGCGTGTGCTCAATTATCGTATCCAGAAACAGGACGCCAAGTTCACGCCTTGATGATCAAACAAGGTGCTGAGAGAGGAACCATATCCAAAACTGCGCTTATTTACATGTACTCAAAGTACGGACGCTTAGTTGACTCCGTTACGGTCTTCGAGAGTGTTGAGGATAAAGATGTTGTATCATGGAATGCTCTGCTTTCGGGTTTCCTTAGAAATGGTATGGGTAAAGAAGCTCTTGGGGTTTTCGCAGCTATGTATAGAGAAAAGGTAGAGATCAGTGAGTTTACTTTGTGCTCTGTTGTTAAAACATGTGCCTCTCTCAAGATTTTGCAGCAAGGGAAGCAAGTTCATGCCATGGTGGTGGTCACGGGACGCGATCTCATGGTTTTAGGAACTGCAATTATTAGTTTTTACTCGAGTGTAGGGTTAATGAGTGAAGCCATGAAGGTTTATATGAGTTTGAATGTTCATACGGACGAGGTGATGTTGAATTCTCTGATATCGGGTTCCATTCGAAACCGAAACTACAAGGAAGCGTTTGTGCTTATGAGTAGACAGGGGCCTAATGTGAGAGTGCTCACTAGTTCTCTCGCTGGTTGTTCTGATAACTCTGATCTGTGGATTGGTAAACAGATACATTGTGTTGCTTTACGTAATGGTTTTGTTTCAGATTCAAAGTTATGCAATGGCTTAATGGATATGTATGGCAAGTGCGGTCAGATTGTACAAGCACGTACTCTGTTCAGAGCTATTCCGTCTAAAAGTGTGGTTTCTTGGACGAGTATGATAGATGCATATGCGGTTAATGGAGATGGGGTTAAAGCTCTTGAAGTCTTCTGGGAAATGTGTGAAGAAGGAAGCGAAGTTTTGCCCAATTCAGTAACATTTCTGGTTGTTTTATCGGCTTGTGCACACGCAGGACTCGTTGAAGAAGGTAAGGAATGTTTTGGTCTGATGAAGGAGAAGTATCGGTTGGTTCCTGGAACAGAGCATTATGTATGCTTCATCGACATCTTAAGCAAAGCTGGTGATACAGAAGAGATATGGAGATTAGTTGAGAGAATGATGGAGAACAGTCAAAACCTTCCTTGTGCTATATGGGTCGCGGTACTTAGTGCTTGTAGTTTTAATATGGATGTGACGCGAGGCGAATATGCAGCAAGGAAGCTTATGGAAGAGACGGGTCCTGAGAACGCGAGCATCTATGTGTTGATTTCGAATTTCTACGCAGCGATTGGGAAGTGGGATATGGTTGAAGACTTGAGAGGTAAATTGAAGAAGAAAGGTTTGGTTAAAGCAGCTGGACACAGCTCATTGATATGAATCACTTAGTTTTTTCTTTTCCACATTCGGTATCATCTCAAACACTTTATACTATACTTAAGCTAGTGTTTTGCGTCAAGAAAATAGAACAAGTCCACTAGAGTCTAAAGCGTTGCTGTTGAACTGTGTCTCGTTGTTCTAAGTCAAATCGCAAGAAGACAGAGTCTGGCTATTAGAGGTAGTTGAGAGGGCAATGTCACAGGTGGGTTTAAGATAAGGGGTGGTTGGGATTAGGAAAAGAGAAGTCAAAATGTGTGTCCTTTTCAAAACTATCTCCACTTGACTCTTTCTTAAAAACACATGACCATAAGAGATTTGATTAAACTACCAACAGAGACTTGATCAAAACATGATGATGATTAGAGCTCTTAGCACGAGGAAGAAGGATCAAGGCGGATACAAGAAGCTCGGTGAGGAAGAAGCAGCAGACGTTGAGCTTTTAAAAGGGAAACCGCAGAGCGTTCCAGCGAGTTCCCATGGCAAATCCCCGGAGGTGGAGAARACCGGCAGTTCAGTTCACCCGCTTCTGAGTTTCTTCGATGTTCGGTTA